ACCCTGTCATAGAGTTTTCTCAGCAAGTTTCATTGGAAGTGGTTTGCCGTGGCATCCTCTGAGGCTGAGAGAGTGTGACTTGCCCAAGGCCACCCACTGAGTTTTTATGCTCAAGCAGGGATTTGAACCCTGGTCTCCAGAATTGCAATCCAGTGCTCAAACCACAACACCGCACTGTCTCTTTTGAATCTTAAGAGCCATTAAAATCTGTTTGGGAATGTGGGAGTATTTGGAGCTGGTGAGTGATAGATCCAAAATACACTGCAGAAATAATCCATGTTTTGTCTCCCAAGGCTGTTCTTGAGCTGTGCTGTGCTCAGTGCTAGGGAATTATAGGAAGTGTAGTTTTGTGAAACATTTAGCCTTTTATGTCAGAGAGCTCTGGTGCTACAACAAACTACACTTCCCAGAATTCCCTCATCCAGGGCAGTTAAAGCAGTCTCAAACTGCATTATTTTTGCAGTGTGTTTTGAACCTTAGATTATGGCTCTGGAGATCAGGGTTCAGTTCCCAGCTCAGCTGTGGAAATCCAAAATTCGGGTCCCAAAAGCAAGCGTGGTGTAGTGGTTTGGGTTAGGACTCTGTAGACCAGGGTTCAATTCCCAGCTGATCCACGGAAACCCAGAATTAGAGTACCATAAGCCATACTGGCTGGGGATTTTGTGGATTGAAATTCAGTACATCTGTAGGGCCATTGTTTCTACATGGCTTTCCTCAAGAGTTTATGCAGCCATTGCATCTCTTCCGCCTTAACAAATTTGTGTGTGAGAGGGAGTAAAATAAAGGAACAGATGGAAGAGGCAGTAGGAAAAAAAGTGTTAATAAATGTTAGGTGAGAGCAAACATGGCGTAGTAGTAGTAGTAGTAGGGAAGAACGATCTGGCTCTCTTGTTCTGGCTGTATTACTAAAACCAATATATAGAGTAAATCTCTGTCCTGAAATGAGGAAGAATGCTGCAGCAAACATGGCGTAATAAGCAAACTCTGGAGACCAGGGTTCAATTCCCAGCTCAGCCACGGAAACCCAAAATTAGAGTCCCATAAACAAGAGTGGTGTAGTGGTTTTGAACTATGACTCTGCAGGCTAGGGTTTAATTCCCAGCTCAGTCCTGGAAACCCACTGGGTGACCTTTGGCAGGTCAAAGTCTCTCAGCCTCAGGGGAAGGCAATGACAAAACCTCCTCTGAACAAATCTTGCCAAGAAAACCCAAGGATAGGTTTGCCTTAGGGTCACCATAAGTTGAGAACCAACTTGATGGCACACAACAGCAACAAAGGCCTGTCTCCCAAGGCTGTTCTTGAGCTGTGCTGGGGTTTCTGCCAAATGCTGTTTGCTAAGTTTTGGAGGCAATTCTCTACGAAAGTAGAAAACTAATCTTGCCCCTCTTTTTTGTACAAGTGTTCAGTTCAGCGAAGGGTATTTTGTGGTTTAACCTGGTTATTGTTGTGTGCCTTCAAGTCATTTCCAACTTATGCAAAGTGACCAGATATCACCTTTTCCCAGGGCATGTCCTACATTTCAACCTTCTGTCCAGGAGAAATTCCAAACTGCTCTCCATTTTGAGCATCACTAAAAAGCATTAATTAATATATATATATTAGTGTTGTTAGCTTTTTATTTTGTAATGTCCTACATTTTTCTTGAATATGCTATATTTTGCGGTGCCTTGGCCTCTTTTCCAGTTAGGACACCTGGTCACTCTGGATTTACGGCAACCCTAAGGTAAGGCTACCATGGGGATTTCGTTAGCAAGTTTCTTCAGAGGGGGATTGCCATTGCCATCCTCTGGGGATGAGAGTGTGACTTGCCCAAGGTCACCCAGTGGGTTTACATGGCCGTGCCAGGATTCGAACCTGAGTCTGCAGAATCATAGTCCAGTGCTCAAACCACTACACTACCCTGGCTCTTGTATATGTGACTCTAATTTTAAAGACAAATTGCTTCCATGGGAGCTTATTTGCATTCATTGTGGTTGTTTCAGCACTAACTGTTCTCCAAAATGATTCACACTTGCGTTGTTGCAATGGAGAGCAAATAGCTTCACAGCATGTTCAGTCATTAAAACTGTAAATAAGTTAGAGTTTGTAAATTCACCTTTTGGAGCTTGAGAAAGGTCAGTGCAGTGTTTCACAGAGAAGAAATGAAATTGTTCAAAAATATTTGGTTTATGTGAAGAGGTGTAAAGGAATTATTTTTTGCAAATATATTTTTGATGTGTAAATGGATTTCTGCAGTTTAGCACTGCTGAAATTTCTAGCAAAAAAAATCAGGTAAATGGTAATTATGTAACTGCTCTGAAACGTATTTTTATTTAATACATATATTTTAATGTTGTTTACTTACCCAAACCCCTCAAATGCATCAAATAACATGATTTTCTTAAGGCATTTCAGCATTTGTTTCAAGATTTAGCACAATTTGGTAATAATGATTTCCTTGCATACTTTCTTTATCCATGAAAGCGAAAAGGTACGTGAACCCAATTCTCTGATATTTTTGTTAACAACAACAACAACAACAACAACAACATAAACAAACAAATAAATAAATAAATAAATAAAGGGTCTTGAGAATAAAAATTTTAATTAAAGATATTGCATGTTAAATTCTAATTTTTGTTAAACTTTTAGTGCAGGGTAGTTCTGCTGTAGCGCTGTATGTTCAACTGAAATATAAAGTCTTATTTCACTGTGATTTAGGTAAATGAATTAATCAGTTGTTTGCATTCTGTTTTTTCTGAAGTAAAACTCGGAAAGATTATAGGCATATTTCTGAAATGCAATTTGAATTAGATATTTAGGAAACTGTAATCTAATACCTGCGAGCTAGCATGGTGTAGTGGTTTGAGTGTTGGTTTATGACTCTAGAGACCAGGGTTTGATTTCCAGCTTGGCCATGAAACCACTGGGTGAAACCACTTGGGCATGTCACACACTCTCAGCCTTAGAGGATGGCAATGGTAAACCTCCTCTGAACAAATCTCGCCAAGAAAACCGCATGGTAGGTTTGCCTTAGGGTCACCAGAAGTCAGAAATGACTTGAAGGCACACAATAAGAACAACCTAATACCTTAAAGATCCCAGATCACACCTATTCTTATAGAAGATAAACAGGGTCAGCCCTGGTTAGTATTTGGATGGGATACCACCAACAAATATCAGGTGTTGCATGCTGTATTTTGAAGGAAGGAACTGGCAGCACCACCTCTTGCCTAAGAAAAACCTATAAAATCATGTGGTTGTTACTAGCACAAAACTGGAAAATAAAACAAAAAATCCCTTGGTAGATGGGTTGCATATTAATGGATATGTCTAAACTAGATAAATTGACAGCAAGATTGAATAATAAGAATATGAACAAAATAGATAATGAATGGACCCCAATGTAAAATTTTGTAGAAAGAGATGGAAAGTCTAAATATATTAAATAACATGTATCACTGAGCTTCATTAAAGTAATACTGTTTGAGATCAAGAAAAGATATAGGGTATCAGAAGTCTAGAATAATGAGCAGAAAAAGTTTTCTCTTTTCTAAGTCAGAGGGGTGGAAGGCTTACATAGTGTGTTTAAAGTGTCTAAATGTAGTTTGTTGATTGTATGTTATGTTTGGCTAAGTATATTTATGTGTTATGTATTTTGTAAAAAATAAATATGCAAAAAAATAATGCGGTTGGCAGTAAGTGAACAGGCAATTTGAAGGCATATACACACACACATAAATATCTACCGTATTTTCCGGCGCATAAGAC